AAATAAATTATTGAGATGTCTAATTATGGAGTATAAAACGGTATTCAACTTACGGATTTTCCAGCATCCTCAAGCATACTTTGGCCATTGTCCCAATAGTTTCAGTGATATTTTCCCTTGGGATATCCTGCCTCTGAAATTACATGAAAGTAATGATTACTCATAAAATAGGATCACCTTTAGCAAAATGATTAAGCGATGGGGACACTGATGCCAGTTAGGGGAAGAATTGAAAATCTTGTTGAGGTCCAATTAATAATTTACCTCCATCAAAAATGTTATGGTAGCATGACTCAGTACTCGAAGCATGGGTGTGGCATTAGCGTAGAATAAGGACATTCGGTTGGCAAGTTCGTTACCAACCACCAGGTCACTCTCTATATTGTCTTGTCTCACTAGTGATGCTCTAGTCAAGGTTCTACGGTAGTAACTGAAGTCATTTTGGATCGCTGGAGTTTTCATTTTATATTCATCGAATTTTAGAACGAATTCAAGAATTTCTGCCAGTTGTTTCACCAGGGCCTGTTGGGTTTCCAGGTGCTGTGTGGGTGAGAGATTTCCGGAACACAGTTGACCCAGAATCTTTGGTACCACTATTTCTGAGAAGGAAGATAATTGAGAAAAATGGTTAAAACATATCGGAAGAAATGTATCTGTGAAAGTGATAATTACCAAGTTCCAAGGAAAATTCATAGAATTTTTTGAGCTTGGCAACTAGAGGTGCAACAGTCAGGTACGCTTTGCGCTGGCACTCTTCAGTCGGTGCTGAAATAGCCTCGCGAATCTCCTTGCCAGCGCCTTTGTAGCACTGTATTTCCTCGAGTATAGACTCGGAGTTTTTCAAAACTCTTTGTACCGCTTCGAAAGTCTCTCGTTCATTGTCCGAGGGTTGAGCGTCTGGAATTTACCATGAATCAGGAATTATAACGAATTCACCTAGCAATGCTCTTATTTTTCCCTAAGAATACCTAATTTACTCACTTTCAAAGTCGAGGAAGACGTCATATTTTTGAGGTGTACAGCAAGTGGACTCGTCGCGAGCCAGAAGGCTCAGGAGTTTTCCCATTTTACGCTTTTTTTGCGTGTACCTTACAAAAAAGCAAACTCGTGTATCATCCGCTTTTCTCCTCTTCCTAACTCACGTCTCTCGATACATCTGCCACAATGAAACATTTTCAATTCAATGTGCAACCCAAAATTGACCAAATAATTTTATGAAAAGTAACGTGATTATGATAATTAAAGTAGACATGTCGGTTCTGAAAGTCGGAACGAATTCGCACGTGAGGTGAACTATTAATTCAAGCTAAGCGCATAGGGCAGCTGCCAAATGAATAAACAGGGGGAATATTAATTCAACCGTTGGCCTTCGCTGGCAATCTATACAATTATTAAACAATTTGAATTAATTAATTCGTCGAATGGACTTATAGTTTCCAATTCAATATAATTCTCGCTCGAATTTCGTACTTCATATATTTTAAATCAGTGGCCATAAAAACAATATGACTAATGATGAAAACGGTTCAATAAAGTATAGCGCAAATGAATAAAAAAATATTTAAATTGTTGCTACCCCATCTCATGGTGGGGATTCGTTATTAAATAGTCGTCGAGGCTGGTTGGTGGAAAATTTTCCGATAAATTGGACACAACTCGGCAGTGGACCAAAAATCCGAACCAACGAATAACCATTGAATTTAGTTAACGTGAATGTGGGTCACTGCAGAGAGTCCTTTTCACGTAGAAATATTGATTCGAATTATCATTAGCTCCCGTTGAATAATTATTTGGGCAATCATAAAATAATGAAAATTTTAATGAACGTATTGTTTGTATAATACAACAATTTACAGTGGCAAGATTGAATAAATTGAGTCTAGAAAGGAAACACTGGCAAAGACAGACGCAAAGACCAAATCAACACGTCCACCTTCTGATGCTATCACACTTAGACGCTGAGCGAAGAGGCTTCCACTCTTGTAATTAAACATGAAAGAAAAAACAATAGAACCATACGAACTCACCCTTACCCCACAACCTCACGACACAGGCCTGTGATGCCTATCAACCCTTTGAGAAGCGTCACATGATAACTGGTAGTGATTAATAAACAAAATTGTAACGAGTCAACAAGTGGAGAGAATATTTCCGTTTGACGCCCGACGATCTCATGATCTCCATGTTCACGGCTGTTTGATACTTGCGATGCTGGCGCGCGATTTCATTCCCTTATTTGGGCAACGACATCACCGGTGGAATATCACCCTTGCCTAGGGGTTGCCAGTCGTGGAAAAATCAATGAAATGCGTGGGGTTGTAACGGCTAGATGGCAGGAGGGTGAAAGAACCGGGATAATAGCTTGCATTTCAAAAAATCTTTGAACAACTGTTCGAAGAAGATGCAAATCATTTTAATTTTAGAGGAACAAGTAATTTTCCACTGAAAATTCAGTTATAAATAACTGGGAGGACGGAAAACATTCTGTCAAATTTACTCCGAAATTTACGGAGGAAATAAATTTCAGTAAATATTTCTTTTAACAATATTTATATTATGTGGTAATTGATGAAATGATTCGTTAGAATCGTCTCCATTAGTGCAGAAAATGGTAGGTAATTTTGGGAATTGCGTTTAATGCAAAACAAACTCATGAACTCCTGCTTTCCACTATTTCGCCGGATTCCGGAATGCTCTAAGTTTAGCAACATGGGTTCTTTCGTGTGCATCGAGATCAGAGACAGAAGAATTCTGCGAGAATGCGACATGTCGACCCACACCGAGACCAACCCAACACACGTGTCAGCTCATCTTGGTGTGTGGTATGACTCAGCTTTTTGTTATTGTGTACATTTAGTGTGCAAGAGATTTTTTTATTGGCTATCAAAATGAACGGGAGATGTATGCAGCCACACGTAATTCTACTAGAGTTTCATATCCTACTTTGATTGCCATTGCTACTAAAGAGTTATTGCTCCTCGCAATGAAATCCTATATACGTCAGATTACAGTGATAAATCATGTATTTTCATGCTTTGTGTTTGTGCCACGTGAACATTCATGATAATTAAAGTAATGTCTTTAAATATTAAATGAGTTAGTATTTAGTATTT